TCAGCAGCTCTGGGTAAATGTGAGGAAACCACACAGGCTCGGAGGACATGGGCAGTAACGTGATTTAAATGTGACTCGATGACATGAATTAAGTTCATCACAGATGAGGCCTGTGTATTTGCCAGCTTCCCATGATTCAAATGGTTAAAATAAACAATGCTAAAAACAGCTGGGCCAATACCTCCCAGTATAAAAAGTACAGATTGGTCTACGTTTTCCAACAAATTAACAACGCAACATGGTTGTGTTTTAATAAATTCACTGCCCTCGTCTTTATTTAGTCTGACAGCAAATAATTCTTATTCACATATAAATGAGCTTTTGTGTTCTCGTCTGGTATTGTCGTGACTTCTAAATGTAGTGCAGATCGCCGATGCCGTCGCCAGCACGACTCCGCTGAGATAAATGCACCTGGTCAGATTTATACGTGTAACTAAGGTTGACTGCTTCATGGAGCAGCATCTAACACGGCGTTGCCTCTAACCAGGTCCAGAGATAAACCCCTCTTTACTGAACCCTAACAGAGTCCCTTGCTCACCGTTTCCCGCCCTCACGTTCCTTCTCCTCAACTGGTTTACTGGTTCTTTCTTGTTTTTCATCTATCATGTCACCAACCATTTTCCCAGGGGGCTTTACTCCTGGAGGTTTGTTGTGATGAGAAGCACGAAAAACAGATCCTGTTACCGCTCAGTCATCATTACCGCCTCCTGCTCTGTGGATGCTGCTGTGTGTGTGGGTGTGTGTGTGTGTGTGTGTGTGTGTGGCCTTGTTTATATAAAAGTCACTGGTGGGGGCCAGAGACGGGGCCCCACGAATAATTTGTCAGATTTTATGAAAATGACAGGGTGTAAGGTTAAGGTTCATTTTGGTTAAGGCAAGTCTCCTGGAAATGTAGGTGTGTGTGTGGAGCCTGTAAGTGATGACCACAGGGACGTGCGTGTCCTTCTGCTTGCTGCACAGCAACCAAATATTTATTTTTTGATGCAGAGTGAGGACATTTTGGCCGGGTTAAGACTTGGTTTTAGGGCTCAGGTTAGAGCTACTGTAGGTTTAGGTCAGGGTTGGGCATTTGGTTCTGATGGTTAAGGTTAGGAGCGAGGGAATGCTTTATGTCAGTAGGGTTAGTGTCGCCACCTTGGTCCTCTGAATGAAAAGCTTGTACTAGCTTAACATTTCGAAGCAACTGCAGCTGATCACTTGCTATTTTTGCCTTGAGTTAGTACCAAGTTCTTCTCAGGAAGTGATCTGGAAATAAACTGGAGTTTACAGACCTGTGGAATATTTTTCAGATGCGCCAAAAGGATTTGTAGAGATTCTTTAAAAGAGGTATCAGGACTCACTCAGTTTCGTTGACGTAAGAGACGAGCTGGACTGCTTGGTTCAGCGTGTCCCAGCTCTGACTTGTTTGCAGTGAGAATATTGATTAACCTCCTCTCAGCTGTCAGTTTATTAAGGTAAAACTGAGTCTGTCTGATCCAATAGTTCTGCAGTAAACCTTCCCTCATGAAGGTGATGATGTTCAGGCTGGTTCAGAGGCTGTAGTTCATGCTACCGCTGACCCAGGTGTTTCTATTGTTTTGTCCACCCTGTTTACCGTATATTAACGAGCATAGGCTCAATAGAAACTGAACACAATTCTCTCATCCATGTTGTTAACAAGTGCCTCAGCTGTGTTTGTCCTTCCTTGTGTCATAGTGCCTGTATGTGTGTCGGTTCCCCCGTGTGACTCGCTACAATCTGTTTAACAAGTTAAACAAGGTGAATGTGAGGGATCAGGTGGTCACACCGATGCACAGAGAGATGGCACTGACTGTCACAAAAACAAACACATCTGCGTCTGATGCATTGGCAAACAGGCGCGTGCGCACACACATGCACTCCATCTTTCAGACACAGTGTTTTCTCCCTCTCACACATCACTGCTGTGATCCAGCTGATTGTTGGAGGGGCCCAGAACAGCCGGTCACAGCTTGTTCTGCTGGAACCCACGATAACACCAATCAAATGTAGCTTAATTTGTTCTTATTAATATCATTTACACCTGATTTATACAGTGAACATGTCGCCTGACAAGTGTTGTCATCTCAACATTTTCTACTTTTCTGTTTTAAATCTTAATTCAAGTGCATAATGCACACAAGTCATGAAAACACAGTTGCTGGATGACTGAGGACAAATAAAAGCAAAGATCTGTTGAGATCTTCTCAATGTTTACCATAGCACGTTCACCTCGAAGCCTTTGGGAAAGTCTTGGCATTTTCAAATGTGTGCAGGCCCCAGCAGAAACTTCACCAGTATCCCTAAACCAGTAGCAGAAGGAGGTCAATAACCAGTAATTCATGACACATCAGTGATGAGGGTCTGCAGACAGTACAGAGGCGGGGCAGACTCAGCTCAGCGCTCTGTACCGCTAATCGTCCCCCGTGCCAAGGAGCAGCTAGCACCAGCTAATGGCTTAAACCCAGAGCCGATCAGAGGGAGCTAGTCTGAAGTAGGATTCCTGACTGTCCAGCTGACCATGTAAGATCCTGTTTCAACTCCGGGAACCACCCAGATATGACAGCAGATCACAAACTTGTTCAAAGTCTACTCCAAACACAAAACATAAAGAGAGAGAGTGCAGTTAAAGAAATGGGAAACAAGTTAATGAAAATGAAACGCAGCTTAAAAAAGAAATGTAGATCATGGAGTGAATGTGAACTGAGACCTGTCCCCTGATCCTGCCACCACCACTGGCTGGACGGAGCCGAGTAGCCTCTTTTAGCTCCTGGTTTTGCTCAGTGACAAAACTAAACAAGTCATAAATCACCATGCAACAAACTGAACGTTATCACCTTTACGACGGAGGATTTACTGCAGCGCTGCTGGATCAGACTGACTTAGGTTCAGCTTAGTGTGCCTAATAAAGCGACAACTGTGTTTTTTAACCCTAACCCCCCTCCTCTTACCGCTCTCTGCCACACAATCAGAAGTGTCATTGTTCAGCCAGGTCTCCGTGAAGCACAGAAGGCTACTCTACCTGTACTCCTGTTGCAGTCTCGTTAGCACCGTTAGCTCATCCATCTTGTTGGAGAGGGACTGGTGAAAAAGTATAAAACACAATGCAAACACAATAAAAATTTGTACTCGTAGTACCACAGCTTCACAAAGGCCTACAGAGAGAAGTATAACACAAAGCAAAAATGGAAAACTTCAGAAAGCATGGAAAAAAACACAAAAGAGGACAGAGCTGCTGGAACCCGCTGCCACTTTGCGCAGCTCTGGAAATTTACCCTGGACGTGTGTAATATCTGTGTTTAGATTCCATGTTTATCTGCAGTTTGTTGGTCTGTGGGCTCAGACAGTGTTGAGGCACTATAAACCTTTACTGGTTAACACACTTCAGTAGAAGAAAATGCTCTTGGATTAGATGGATTACAGCGGAAACATTAGAGACTTCAGACCTGACTTGGCTTTGCATTTTGTGACCTGTGAACGTCTCTGGTACAAGACTAACAACCAGGTCATGTGTGCGACGGTCAACCGGCCCAGTTTCCTGTCATACTGCTGGGTTACGATATGTTCCTTCCAGTTTGGCCTGATCATAAACGTCCACCACATGTGAAGCATCCTGGTCTCTCCACTGACCCCGTTGTTGTCGTTGCTCTTCTCCATATTTATACCGGTTTGTGAGGGGCCGACGCCGAATGATGATAGAGGAGTAGACGTTAAAAACTCTGATAAATTATAATGGGCTTCTTTAAAATTATTCTTTAATATTTTATAAACTATAGCTTTAGCCCTAAAGTCCGCTGCACACCGCCCCTGGCACCAGGCGGCAGCCAGATGCAGTGTGCGTGTAATGTGTAATCAGAAATAGCCAGCAGGTTGCTACCGGTTGCCCCTCAATGGAAAAAAAATGTATACTTGTTTACGTATTCTGTGTATCAGCAGGGTCAATGAGTAAACGGATCAAACAGCTTGTGCGGTCCACTCTGCCAGTGATGTGTTATTGGCCGTTGGAAAGCAACAAGGTCATTGGATGAGCTGTCAGGGCACGTTGCCACGTTACCCAATCAGCAGCATTGATCTATTGCTGTTTGGGTCTGTGCCACGACGAAGACCAGTCAGCAGTGTTTTTAGATCATGAAAGTGGGCTTGTGCCATCCGCACAACGATCAGCAGCATAAATAGCACACACACCACCAGCTGCGATCAATACACACACACACACACACACACACACACACGGTGGTGATCACACTCACCTCTGTCAGTTGTATGACCAGGTCGGATGGTCTTCAGTGGCACCTAGGTCAGATTTAAAGCCACACCGTCTTTTCTACCGAGGTGAAACAGCGGCATGAGCAGTGACCAGGACCTGAACATTGACCAGTGTGGGCCAGTTTGCTACAATTGTAATAATAATAATGAATAATCAATCAGCACGCTGTGTCTTCACATGTACTGCCTAAGCTGCCAACATCTCCAGCTGAGTTCAGGGATCAACCGTGACACCAGGTGTCAAGAGAGACTGGGTTGAAAAGCTCCTCATTCCATTCTGAACTGGGAAAACTGGTTTCCAGTAACACCTGACTACTGGAGTGAGCTGCGACACAACTTGTCATTCCACCAACACACATCATTAGCTAATATTGCTAATAATCCTAATTGTTTTTACTCATGTTGTGTGTCGTCGGCCGAACGAGCCTGGTGTGATTTCTCTGAATGCTGCTCATGGGGCTCTGCAGCTCGATCTCACACGTTTGTTTTCATCCCACATGGGGACACTACATTGACTTGTATTCACTTCCTGACGTTACACCAACAGTCATAACTCTAAAGTTCAGTGGTTTACATGGTTGGGATCAGCCGAGCCCCCGCCATGTGAGTGACGCCAGGGCCACACACACCAAGTATTATTGCACGTCCCTGGTGATAGGGTCTAAGGGCTCTTACACTCACCAGCTGATGTTTTAAAAGGTGAAACAAACACATTGTCTCTCTCCATCTGTCTCCAGCTGTTGAACCTCTTCCTGGCGCTGCTGCTGAGCAGCTTCAGCTCTGACAATCTGTCTGCTCCAGACGACGACGGCGAGATGAACAACCTGCATATTGCCATCCACAGGATCACCAGAGGCCTGGCCTGGTGCCGCAGACAGGTTCCCGTCTACGTCTCTATCAGCTAAACTGTCTGACAGCCAGTTTACCTGTCATTACAACCTGTGCACTAGTGTTTGTAGAGCGTGCCGCCGCCCAGTTGACCATCTGTGTCTCATGCTCTCTTTCTTTTATTTTATCATGTGTGTGATGAAGGTGGTGGACTTCTTTAATGGAAACCTGAAGCGCCGTCGTCAAAAGCGGAAGGAGGCCAAAGCCATGATGAAGCTGAAGCGCCTGAGCACCATTCACACCGAGGCCAACGGGGCTGTCATAGGTGACACATGTGACAGCAATCACATTAAAAATAATCTATGTAATTGTCCAGTTTTCATTGTCCAGCATTTGGCTTCATAATGCCATCGCTAGCCAGGACTCCTTTACATTTGGTGGCATTCAAGGATGCAGGGACACCACAGATTTGAGTCATATGGCAGACGTTACCATAGTTCTCAGCTATGTTGTTAGAAAAATTAAAACAAAAAGTGAACGGTGAGGGAATTCACAGCTATAGAAACCAAGTGAGCATGAGTTGTGTTATAGCTGTGACGCTCTAATGAGCATGGATGAATTTTTCAATGCAAAATGACCACAGACTCAAACTGACTACAAAGAGAATCAGAACCATCCCCAAGACAAGAAACAAAAAAGACAAGAAACGGACACTGAGCAGCAGTGGACAGCAGAGCGCAGAGTCACTCAGACTAATTAATCTGTTCTACTGTCCCAAATCTCTGCTGCCTGAGCATCCATGAATGCACCACCCAGGAGTTTTCGAGAAGCCATTTACAACAATAACATAACACTCAGTGAGAACTGTCTTTACTAAACCTTCTCCTGTCTGTCTCTGCCATAGGCCGCCATGTGGAGAAGTATGTGGCGCCTGAGGACGACAGCTATATGACCAACCCTAACCTGACCATCAGTGTCCCGATCGCTCCTGGAGAGTCGGACGTGGAGTTCCCGGAGGAGGAAGAGGAGGAGGAGGAAGAGGAAGAGGTGGAGATGGAGATGGAGATGGAGGAGGGGGAGCAAGAGCAGACCGAGGAGGAGGAGGAGGAGGAAGAGCAGGTAGGGAGGAGATCTGACTCACAGACACATGCACCTGTGTCTGACGTAAACACGTTCAGGTGTGTGAATCAGCTGAGGTTACATCTGTGTGTGTGTGTGTGTGTGTGTGGTTGGAAGTCTGAGGTGATGTCAGCATTGACCTGCACCGCTGAAACAGGCCGAGACTTAACGCCAACCCTGAACTTTCTCTTCTCGAGCTGCTGATCTTTCAGGACACATGAGACCATTTCATTACAGAACACGGAGGGTTTTCCTGCTAGGTTCAGGAATTAAAGCTCGACCAAGGCCAATTTAAAAATTGTAATGCTGCTTTGTTGCATGGCGAAATCCCTTGTTAATGTGAAAGGAAAAAAAACACACAGACTTTACCTCCAGCATGAAAAGACCTCTTATGTGAGGCAAAGATTTAAGCAGGTATTTATCAATATGAAATAAGAGAAGGCACAGTTGTGTGGTTGCTGACGTGGCTGCAGCGGCACACGGCCTGTTGGTGGTGTCAGTCAGAGGCGCCTGTGTCTCCTGTCAACACAGTCCTTCTCAGCTGCTGCCTACAAACAGTGTGTTTGTTATGGATGGGGTGACTCAGCGCAGTGAGAGGGTCCCTCAGGTAAAACAGGTGCTCTGTTTGTCCTAAAAGGCTCAGTATTAGTGTGTGTGTGTGTGGACAGTATGAGCTAGAGCATGAGTGTGGCCTTGTTTTTCTATACATGCACAGCCCAAAATCTGTGGACTACTCTCTTGGCAGGGACTGGAAGTCACTTGTGGTCGAATTGTATGAACATGATGGGGTGTAAGGTTAGACCGTGTGTCGGCTTTGGTTACATTTAGGAGAGTGGCAGTTGCGGTCAGGATGGGTCTCCTGGACATGAGTGTAAGTCTGTGTAGGGACAAAAACAAGCATGTGTGCGTGCCTGTATGTATGTGTGTGTTCTTCATAAGAGTGTGTAACATTTATGAAACAGTCTTATATCTGTGTGTGTGTGTTTATGCAGCAGGAGGTGAAGAAGAGGGGCTGCTTCGTCTCTTCTCTTTGTATTTAACGTGACATGACAGATTTGTGTCATGCTCTGTGTGCGTGTTTGTGTACACACCTGTGCTGACTCAGTTCATCATCACCTCTCCTCTTTCATCATGCTGTACACCTGTTCTCTCTCTCTCTCCGCCACAGTGGTTTCGACCCTGTGTGTGTGTGTGGGCTAAATGTGAGACAATGAGACAGTTAACAGGAGAGAAAACATGTTTTGGCATTTAGAGAGATTTGTTTTTAATTCTTAAAAGTTTCTAAAATCTTTGCAGCTTTGTGAAACACCAGACATTTGGTCTTTTCCACATACGACACATATAGTAACCAGCAAATTATAGTTACACATATTTATTCAGCTCAGCTTTATCTGTATCTGCACATGGCGCAAGGTGAAATGTAAATACACACACTGACCCAGTGTGAAAGGGCAGAGCAAACAGAACAAAGCTCAAGAGCGTACCCCCGGGGCTTTGTCCAGTGTGTGTGTGTGTGTGCGTGTGTGTGTGGTGCGGGGTGGGGGGGTCAGACAGCAGCACTGCCTTCACAACTCTTTATCATCAAGCTTTGTTTCCTCTGTGTGTGTGTGTGTGTGTGTGATGCAGACAGGCTGTTCTGTCTCCCTCCCTCTGTAACATCTCACTTGATTTTTTCTGTTCTTAATTGAGTTGAGCATTGAACACTGGACACAACAGAGGAGAACAGACCCATGTTCACCTCTGTGATTAAGCCCATGTTCTTCTTGTTACACACTCGTCTCTGATTTCCCCACACTGCACTTGACAAGAAGCACACCCACATTGTGGAACCAGGTGCTCAGACCAGTCACAGCATAGCCTTTAGTTCCTTTATGCGCACCTTTAAAAAAGCCTTGTGTCAATGTGCGAGTGCTGAACAGAACCGTCAGTCGTCTGTTGTACAGCCAGCATGAGAAGTTGTCGCTGAAGCTTAGACGTGATGATTAATGTGACCGTGCTAGTCAGAGTCTGAGCCGCTCTGTGTCTCTATGCTCTGTCGTCGTAGCTTTGGGAGGGTTCACCTTGCTCTGATGAAGTTGGTTCTCTCTGTAGTTTACTGTTTCTACACCCACTGCAGTGCAAATGTCCACAGCACGCTCTTCAAATCTACAAACATTTGAAGAATTGGCAAAAGTTGTGACTATTATTGTCTCAGTAATAGGAATAAATAAGTTTCTTGTACTTTTTGAACCCACACAGGCATTTTTTTGAGTAATAAACATGGCTGCCTGTTTTTTGTTAAAATTTTGATGTGTAAATTATTCACGGGGCCTGTTTTGGGCGAGCCTCTTTGCCTGCTCAGCAACATAAATGTGCAGTGATTTCTTACTGTTTCACACAATAAGTGTTCGCCAGCATGTGACCTAGATGTTTAGTTAAATAATGTACAGCGAGAAGTCTGGTATCCGAATAAACCTAGTCAGCAGTTTGGTTCTGGTACAGCTCACTTGCTCCCAGTCTCTCCCTGTAGTCGAATCAAGGTCAGCCTTCACAGCGTCCTGCTTCACATTCACATTGAGAGCCGCCCAGCAAGCCTCAAGCTTGCCAGGTCTGGTGCCTGGCTCAGGGAAACAGCTCGACAGCTTCCACCTTAAGAGGCCGTGCGCTCTCGTGGACCACAGTCAGGCTGCTGGAGGTCACGGTTGGCTCAACACCATAAACGCACTGATTGCAATACTTCTTTATCATTTTAAAAACAAGCTTTTATAATGTTAAATGCAAAGAGCCCCCATATAGTTCACACACTGGAGGCAGCTGTGGAACTGCCGCTGGCTCCAGGGCCGGTCTTTCTGTTTTCCGTGCATGAAAGCTGGTTAAAGTCATATTAGCAGACTGCGGAGTAAATATTTATGTGCAGTGCTTCTACAATAAATCATATCATGACATCAGTGACATCAGTCAGAGGCAGGTTTCTGCCATGCTGTTGAACGGGAAAGGAGCTGGTTTGATTGGCTGCTACTAAAGCCAGCTCTGACTCCAGCTGCCCATCATGCAGCCCTCCCACTTTCGTGCTAATACAAGCTTCTCACAACACTGACTCTACCGGTAATGCTAACAACCACTGTCGCTAAATGCTAATACAACTCACATTCATTAAATGTATCTGGTTATCTCTGCCTCTCAGCTGTAATCCCCGCCATCATCATCCGTCTCCCTCACCACCTCCCGGTATCTCTCACCCCATCTCTCCTCTCCCTCCAAGTCTCTTGTATGTGATTTATTTTCAGGCCACAAACGGCTCCGTGCAAATAGAAAGCTGCTTTAGCACTCCAGGTTTAATAGCCCTTGTGTTTGGTTATGTAATGATTAAATAGCTGATCTGTGCTTTAATGGCACCATAAATCACTGGTCGTGGTTTTACTGTCTCATAAAGCTTGAATCAGATGGTCGAGGTGGGCACGGTCAACAGCCGAGATCAGAGGTTACACTGGAGTGTTTGTAGTGGCTGGTGTCAAAAGTTGCACTTCACACATTCCAGCGGTAAAAATAAAAACCACACAACCCTGAAATGTCTGGAAGAGTCCTATTTTGTTCATTTTAAATCCTTTTCAAAACATTTATATCTTCGTGAAAATGTGAGGAACTGGTGGGCTGTAAACAGAGCAGAGAGCTTGCACATGTGCAGTTGAGTTTTGCTACTTCAGATAAACACTAAAGTTGTTGGTTGGTCTGGCGTTTCCTAATGAAGAAACGTGTCACTCTGAGCAATGGTGTGTTTCCTGATGTGTGTTTAATCCGTGCGGAACAACAACAGATGAATAAGCTGATCCAGCTTGGGGACTAACAGGCTCAACTATGAGTTTCCTCTGCTCGCAGTGAATGTCTATGTGGGGATGTTTCTCCGGTGTTTAGAGAGAGCTGGAATCAGACCCAGTTTAAACCCAGTTTAGATCAGATTAAGAACCAACTGGAACTGAGTTAATGTCAGGTCGGGACCAGGTTCAGTCGGGTCCCATTAGACTACATGTCTGTGTCATTTCTGCCCCAAACCCATACAGCAGCTGGAGCCTTGGATGTGTTTTGTCTGTGTGGCAGGCGTCCTCTGTGTCAGCTGCCCTGGAGCTGCAGCTGTGAAACCCCACTTCTCTCCTCTGCCCCCGCAGTTTCTAGCAGGTGACCTCTGCCCCCTGTAGAGCCCAGGACCTGCAGAGTTATACAGGTGTAGCTGGCAGCGACAGGTGGTGGGGGAGGGACGCCACAGCAGCTGCTTTGATTTCTCTTGTGTGTACGTATGAAATGGTCGACATCAAAACATCCTGCCTCTGTGCTCACAAACAAAGTCCCGTACAAACGCACAAACTATTGTGAAATTACAGAAATTGGCTTCTCATCTGCCAGTTTGATTTAATTCTTTTACATTCTCTACTAAATGTTTTTGCAGTTGCAGTTTAGTTGTATATGAATGTAATTCCTTAGAGTGAAGGATGTTATATAACATAAATTAATAAAATCAACAGAATTAATTAAATTCTATCTACAAATTTTAACAATTGTAGAAATGATAATTTATTCCAAGTTGCATGAGTCAGTGTTGTTGTGAAGAGGAAGCCGGTCATGAATCTGCAATGTAAATGCAATGTGTTAGTTTAACACACTGTGTTGCTTCATCACTGCTGATTTATCCAAACCAGCCCAGAAACCAGAGTGTTTTATTTGAAGCTTCACTCGGCTGATTTGAACATGATCACCATATTAAATGGCCGTTATTGCTTATAAAGCCCCTAATTATGTGTCAGTAGCAGCAAACTGCACCTTCCATGAGGCCACAAGGTGCATATCACCAGTACATGTTATAATTAGGTAACCTCTAGCAGCCGTAATAATCATGACAGGTCGCCAGTGGAGGTGGGTGGACGGGCGAGCAGCAGAACAGGACTTTCACACAGGCGATTTTCCACTTTCAAATCCATAGCTTTCCTTTGACTAGTCTTTATTTTAACCCAAACCTGAGGCTCCGGCTCTCAGTCACCTACAACAGAGAGCAGGACTTCCATTTTAGGAACCTCAGATGCCTGAATAACCCTTCCTTCACTACTTCCTTTGCTGTCTCCTCTCCCATCGTCTCCTCTTCCTCTCAGCCTCCTGTAATTATGAAATGTGTCTTATTTGTGCATATTTTTTAGAAAAAAAATCATAGAAAGCAGTGACATGATCTGCTGTCCATGTCCTTTTTAGGGGTAAACATGCTGTTCGTCTTGCCCAGTGAAGACGAACCGTGCAAAACCCCCAAGTGACTGAAGTGTCCGCGGTCTCTGTGGAGGCTGAGAGCTCATTTACCTGGAAGGAACACACAAACACACCATGTTGTGTTTGGCTGTGATCATACAGTGTTCAAATGAGAGTGGGGGCCTCAGGACTGCATCTCTGCTATTTGCGAGATGATGTGGTTTTGCTGGCTTCTTTAGACCATGAACGCAACATAGTAGCACAGCAGCGGCTTTAGGAGTCCAGCTGCAGGTGTGTAACAACAGAGGGAGGCATGAACAAGCACCCGTAGCTCACACCACGACAGCAGTCGGGCTAACATGTTTTGTAACTTACTGAGAACGTCAGGGTTTCTATGTGATTACCGTTGGCTTGTTGTCCTTTACTGTAAGTTGTTTCTGTCAAACTATCACCACCGGAGTGAAATACGTCCTCCAAAACAGGAGGTGGACTTAAGACTTTTACTAAAGAGTCAGGACTTAAATAGTGAAAAGTGTTGAGAATATGAAATCTGTGACACTAACCTTCTCACTGACATCGGCTTGTTCGGTATTCTTATTAAACACAAAGCTGGACAGTAAATTAGTTAATGGAAAGCACACAAACAGACTCCTCTGTAGATTTAATATATGTAACTGCTGTGAGTGATTCAGAGGTTTTATGACAGTGGAGAGGTGAACGTCTGACGCATCGTGTGCCAGTGAAGCGGCGATCCCACTTCTTGGCCACTAACTTCATGTGTAGTGTGTTGTTAAAGCTGATGGAAGCAGCGTTGCAGAAGTTTTTGCAGTCTCATCCTGTGACGGAAGTAATCAGATTACATTTGATTTATTACTTGACACACTGTGAATATGCTTCAGGCCCTCCCTGGCTTCACAATAGAAACAGCTTATGAATAGAAATACATTCAAACCTCTCTCAACTGTCAGGCTCGTGGCCCGAGGCTGCTGTGTGTGTGTGTTGCATTATCCAGTTTTTGTGCAGCTCTGTTTCACGTGTGTGTGTGTCAGAGATTAGGTGTGTATTTATGTCTGTTTGACTTCACCTTTGTGTGTGTGTGTGTGTGTGTGTGTGTGTGTCCAAGGCTTGCATTTGTCACAGCGGCCGCGCTCTGCTTCCAGATTCTGAATGTATTCATGACTTAGCTGTTGACTCAGGTAGTTGGCTCACCTGTCTACACACACAGACACACACCTGCAGCACATGCGCTCTCCCCGCTGGGTCTTTCTCCAGACCTGTAACAAAACTTGCCAGACTTCCTTCCTCAGCAGTGAGCACACAGCCTGTCTCCTCTCCCTCCATTTTCTCCTCCTTTGTCAAGTTAAACTCCCATGATGCTTAGCAAACAGCAACCTTTGAAGTCAGTTGGGATCGGGGGGTGAATCGGGGCTTTCCTGATGTCTGATTCTGCCGGGATCTTTCAGAGTGGAGGTGACCTGGCTGCAGGGGGAGGTTTTGGAAGGTGACGCCCCCGTTGTCTCAGCCAGGACTCCCGTCAGTTATGTAACGTTAACTCTGCAGCAGAACGATGCCGATGATCACACAACCAACTAAAACTTAGAACAACACTGATGTACAAGCACTAACCGTAAAGGTGGTGGAAGAAGTTATGAGGTGTTCTTATGATGAGGCAGAGACTAGGACAGCAGTCTCTGATCCAGAGTCTCATTGCCAGTGAGTCGCACATCACTGAGCCTTGTGAACCCCTGTGGCCCAGTCTCACGTGAAGATGTACGATAGCTACACTGGTCCACAGCATCAGACACAGTGGTGTCACAGTAACATCTGTAAAACTGTGACATGGTTTGTCATATTGCAGCCCAGTGTCGTCCTCTGCTTTCTGGTCCTTGGTGTGTCATGGCGGTTGGCAAATGACGACAGGGTGCATTACCGCCACCGACCGAGCTGGGTCGTGGATCGGGAGGCTAACATTTAGAAGGTGTATGGTTTTGAACTACAGAACAAACACGTGACTTTCACACAGACGACTGGAGATCAAGCCCCGTGTCCGGCATTGTGTGACCTTGTACTGTCCCCAGCTGTTAACAAGCGGTTCTTCTTCAACTAGACACAGATGAACTCTTTGTTGGTTTTGGTTTCCTCTTTGTGGACAGTAGAAAATACAAAACAACACCAGACTGAGCCAAATGAAAGCAGCAGTGCCACCATGGGGAAGATTTCTGTAGCATTCAAACATCCAAATTTATCAGCCAATCACAGGGCAGCATGGAAAGACTAATGTGTTAACAGTGGATTTACTTAACCTTTTAACTTTTCCCGGTTTAAATACAGTGACTGAGTGTTTGAGAGCAGAGTGTTGGTGGATTTAGTGAGCTATATATATTCCTCGGTTGGTTTTTTCCTGCAGCTTTCTTCACCTAATTGCATCACATCAATGAGTCAGAGGAAGGAGTGGTGGACATGATTAGTTATTCATGTTTGTGATCGGTTGTTTCCTGCTGTTTTATTCAGCAGAAAGACGATATGAGCCTGTCAGAGGGCAGCACGGTGGACCTGAGGAAGCCTGGGGAGGAAGAGGACGAGTACTCAGAGATGGCTGAAGAGGCCATGGATCCGGACAACTGCTTCCCAGACAGTAAGCGCGCGCACACACACACACACACACAAGTTGGAGAGGATCCTCAAAGAAGAGGATAGTTAACGAGATTGGTCATTAACCACAATTCAGATTAACCATCATCGTTTAAGCAAAGATGTTGAACATCCTCGGGGTTCAGTTTCTCAAATAGTAGAAACTGCAGTTTTTTATGTCATTGCAAATATGTGTGTTGGACTGTTGATCAGGCAGAACACGGCGTTTCTTACCTGGGAAACCTTCGGTAGGCATTTTTCAATATTTTCTGACATCTTTGCCGACTAATCACGATCCAATACTTTACTGCTGTTTCAGCATAGTTGAAGGGGATTTGATTTAGTGAGCTCACTCCACACAAACATTACATTCCTCACTGCACTGTGCTCATCATTACATGTACAGAGCAATAAAAACATTGTGCCATAAACAAAAAATGAAATATAAAACCTAAAGCGTGAGGTCTAACACTGAATCGATTCAAGTCGAATCCTCAGGTCAGCTGCCGTACACGACTCTGGCCAGTGCCTAAAAACAGACCCACTGGTGTTAGAGGCCGACAGCTTCAGGGTGCTGCATGCGCTTGCTTTTATTGATTACTTGATAGTGGAAGAAAATCTTTAGTTTCAGCCAGACAAAAGTGGATCTTGAGCTTTAATTGCCAGACGCACATTCTTAGACTTGCCCTAAAAGTCAAAAAATGTTTTTCATCCATGAAAAGCTGTACTTTATGGCATCTTTACCAGAAGATGTAGGTCACAGCCTCATTTTGAACTGGAACTGTGTGGAAGCAAAAACCGAAATAGTGGTTTGGATTTCATCAGCACCTGAATAATGGATTTTGACATTTTATCACTTCTCAGTGTTTAGTTTTGAAATTTAAATACCACTGGATTTATTGCTTACTTTGAAAATCATTTTCTGAACAGTCTGAAATTCACTTTGTGAAATTCTCATCAATCAATTTGATAACCTTGATTTTCACTATATATTATTTTAGGATTCTCAAGTTCAGATCAAAGATGTTCATGCCTAAATATTCAAAAACTATTCAGGTTGTTCTGGTTTAGTCGATTCGGTTCAGATCTAAAAAGTGAATTCAGACCCTACTTCACGTTTCAGACCAAATATTTTCTGATATTTCACTGCAACACAACCTGTGGTAGTGGTGTCATTTCAAAACTTATTATTCACGTGCTGATAAAATTCTAATCATTAAGGTGGTTTTTTACTTCCATATAAATACCGACAGCCACACAGAGAGGGCGGCTCCACCTTGTTCACACCTGAGTAGCTCCTAAATAACGAGTACTTCAAGCTCCTTTTCATACTAATTTCTACAAAAATCATCAGCGCTTGCATGTTAATCGTGCACTCACGCTGCAGGTACCTCGCTCTCACAGCCGTTCCATGTGCTCAGACAGGCTTCTGCACATCCCTCCAAGTGTGACCTTGATAAATGTGAGTAAACAGGTTGGCAGTGTAATCTTTTTTTTATCTGATGATGCTGTGAAGCTGTTGCCCTTCGGTTTCACATGCTTTCATTAACCAGGAGCCTGTTCCACCACTCACTTGCCCCAATACTTTCACAGTGAGATTTATGAACCTCCACCGACTAACTCAGGTGAAGAACAAACACCTTGTTTCCTTCCTGACTCAGCGAGTTTCCTTCTGGAGCACAGAGATCTGTCTTGGAAACAGCAGAGAGAAATGCTGGGGGAACACTGGAGGACTATTGGGTTAGCATCAGCCAATGAAAGCCCAGTTCCCATAAAGCTCAGGTGACCTGTGACGTTTCATGTTCTGTTGATCGCCAAAGACCTTCAAATGCAAGAGAACCTTTATTTCTGGCCATGGAGATGACTCTCAGCTGTGTGTTCACATTTCACCCAGTGATATCAGCTTCACTAATAAACTCGTTCATGACATGTTTTCTGCAGTTGCACCAACATTAGACAGCGGTGCTCGCTGCCAGCAGATAGGCGTAGTCACATTTAGGACAACAGTGTTTTGCTAGTTTTGGCATTCACATTTATAATCTTCTTTGGAGTGTAAATCCAAACCATTAAAGTTTTACACATCGGAGTATGGGTACAGGTGTTGGGCGTACCACTGCATATGTGAAAGAAAAGTTTAAAGCCTGTAGTGTCACCACTGCACGAGGTCCCGTAGTGCAGTGCCAAGTCAGCAAGTCTTTAGACTATTTGTTCTCTCACATCTGGTTTGTTTGATGTGGTGAAAATACATCATTGCTTTTGCTGAATTTCTCTTGGTTGCATTAAATGTCTCCAGCCTTAAAGTGAATGATCAGGTCTTTTGCAGTGAAGGTGTTACCGTGCAGTTGCATGAATGTTTCACTACCCATGAGCATGTCCCGCCACCCACTTGCCCCAGTACTTTCACAGTGAGATTTATGATCCTGTTCTGAATAACCAAGATGAAAAGCACATTGTTTCCTTCTGAGTCAGCCCGTTTCCTCCGGGGGCAGGGAGGTCTGTCTCTGCACAGCTTGCATGGCCGCAGCAGAAGACAGAATTAAAATTGTTCAAACCTCTAAATACATGTTGTATTGATATTTCCCATCTGGCTAGAGAGGTTGAAAAAGGCTGAGACAGATTCAGGGCAGCCAGCTGGAAAACCCTCTGCAAAGAACCCAACAACACAGCAGCAGTCCCAGCACCTGCACTGCTCCTGCTAGTAAGACAGCAAGGTGTACCACTGACCGTCTGACTGAACGTCTTGTGCCGTGCGGTTCACGA